TCAAATGCTTTTTTATTATTAACACTAATTCCAATTCCTAAATGATTAAATTTTCCAAGTAAGTAAATAGAATTTGAGTTATTTTGATCATTTAATAATAAATTATTAATCTCTTGTAAAGTTATATTTTGTTCGTCAAAATAACTTAAGACCTTTTGTTTTCCTATATTATTACCATAATTATTAAAAAAATTGAACATATTATTAACTATTATATTAAAATTATCCCCAAATTGGTTACTTAATGACATTGGAGATTCTATTTCTTTTGTATTTATCATATTAAAATTTTGAATAAGTTGATCATATAAGTGAAAATCCTTTATATTTATGTTTCTTTTATTATAAGTACTTTTAATTCATCAACTACTTGATTAATAGTTGGACGATTATCAGGTTCATTATTCCAACAATCTACAATAAAGAACGTCTTTAATTAATTAAAACAACATTGTTTATAAGTAATAGTTAAATTGTATTTACCGGTATAAATTTTTATATAATCTATAGACGTATTTGGAATAGGTGTCTCTCTGAGTCCTTGTAGAATACTTAGAGCCAAACCAACATCATACGGTATACCATGAAAAGGAGGCTGACCACTAGATATCTCCCATAGTAATACTCCAATGCTATAAACATCACTTTTTTTATTTAATAAGTATAAATTCGTTGTACTTCTATTAAAGCTTTTTGGATCAGCGTAAGGAATTAATCCAAATGTTCTCGATTGAGGGTTAGATGTTTCCTCAATTCTTTTTGATAAACCAAAATCTGCTAGCTTAATAGTATTCTGATGGACTAACACGTTATTGGAGTGCTATCAATATTAAATTAACGTTAAAATAAGAGAATCATTAAAATAAAACACATAATATATTGTAAAATATCTACCAAATCACGGTGCACGATCCCTTTATCATGCAAACATGATACTGCATAAACCAATTGAAATGCGAGATTAAATTTATTGTCCCAAGTGAGATTTTCAAAATTTTCTTTCAAATATTTTCGGAGGGTACCATTTTCAGCATATTCTATCACCAATGAATATTCTTTTCTTTGGTTTTCTTTAAAAAAAAAAAAATTCTTATTAATTAACTAATTATTATATTTTATGAAATAAATAATATTAGAATATATCATACCCTTAATCGAAGTTGTGACACCATAAANAATTGAAGATTTTGTCTATATAAATTTTTTAAATTTTATTAAAAATAAATTGATTTTTCAAAAAAAGATTTTGCCCTGTCTCTTATACACATCTAGATGTGTATAAGAGACAGGATTAATTTTTTCCGTATACATTTCGTATACATTAGTTTTTTTAAAAAATGTTCAAAAATGAATTGCTTATTAAATATACGGAATTTGTATACGGAATCTATAGAAACGTACATAAAATGTATACAAAACGTTTCCTTTCCGTATACATATTTCTTATAGGGTAGGTACAAAAAAAAAAAATTATTACTGCGGAATTTAAATTTATGCTTTTCGAAAATTGAAGAAATAATTTATTTTTTTGTTTCAACTATTTATGTCTAGCTTATTTATAAATAATTTTTTTTTTGTTTAACTATTTATAAACATGGTATCACTGAACGCCGAAGGTACTGTAACTGTCGATCATTTTACATCTAATTTAAGTTAGGTCATCAAAACTTTGATGATCGGAGTATTTAACTTTCAATTTTTTGTCTTGCGTGAAATAACTAACAAATGAATTTTTAATAATTTTATTTTAACTCTTCAATTAAGTAATTTAAATTGTTTTATCAATAAATATTTTAAAAATTTATTTCTTACTCTGCAAAAATGTGCCCAATTATGGTAGAAACATTACTATATTTCAACAATAAAATTTTGTTTATTTATATTGTAGACTAAGGAATTATAATTATTGCCGTTTTCAAAATGGTTGAAATTGATGATCTGCAAGGTGAAACACACTAATTAAATCACATGCAAATGTAACACTAAAATTAATATTTTTTACCCCGCTATTAATCTATACGCGTTTTTAATGGTTTACAATGAGTTCAAAACGGTCTATACGTGAAAAAGTTCCATATGAAAGAATATATGTGATCAGTACTTGTTTCTTATGTCAAAAATGTTTGTTGTCAAAAACAACTGCTTAATAAAAAATGTAGTTGTGACTTAACTGAACGACCGCGTTTTAAGAGCAAAAATAATGCAAGAAATTATTATACTGGAGTTTATAATCCAAGTACAGCAAGTAGAGTTTATAGCCCTTCACAAATGAATAAAATAAATGATGCAAATAAAATTTTTTCATATAATTTGAACTTTTCGTCTAAATTTAATTTTTCTTTATGTGTCACATGCCATAATCTTATGGCAAGATTAAAAAAAAAATGAAAAGGAATTAAAAGAAGTACTGAAAGAAGTTGAATTAATAATAGAGGATAGTAATATAGATGAAGAAGAAGCAACAATGCAGACTGATTTTGAAGAAAAGAATACTAAACATAGTGAAAAAGAATTTAGTGAAGAAGCTTATGGAGCAGAATCTAGTGAAAAAGAAGGATAATGGAGTATCAGAAATTTCTTTTAAACTTAGTTGTAATTAATCAAAAAGGGAAGAATAGTCCTGCAAAATGGATAGTTATTCAAAAATCTATCCTTAGAAATTTTTTAAAAGATTTGAATTTACATATCCAGCAACAAGCAGATCAATGGATTGAACGATTACATTATTACATATAAACAGGTAAATGATAAAAGTTTGGGTACTCAACTTTCAGATGAAAAGGATTGGGAGAAATTTCTGTCAGTTAGAATATCAAAACACAATTTCACGAAAAAAGGAGATGATGGTGCTTGCTACAATCAAGTTTAACGAAAATGAAAGTGATAAAATTCAATCAAAAAGAAGGTATGCTATATAACAATAATATTATTTATTTATAGACATATAATATAATTTATACTTTAATTGTACTAAATAATTATTTATTTCAGAAAAGTAGGTGATATAACCGATACTACTGATACTACTGATACCGTGCAAACATAAGAAAAAAAAAAGAAAAATTAAATACTATTCCAAAAGAAGTAAATCTTTCTGATGAAAGGACTAAAATTGCAACAAACATAATGTTGTTAACTCAAAAAAATCATTGTGATGAACATGATAGAGCGTGTTACGTTACTGGATCGCATCATTTATTTTTAACGCCTCAACATTTAAGTACCTGGGCAGCTTCAATCGTAAGTTCAGTATTTTATTTATAGCATTTAAATTTAAATTTATTTTTTAAATTTTTTTTTCTTTTTTCATGATTTACAAATATAATTTAGGAACATAATTTAGCAACAATTGATACGCCACCAAGTTTTCCCATATTTGCTAATAAAACTGTAAGAAGTAATCAAAGTAATTCGCAACCTTTACCACCTCAAGCATCTATACTACAACATACATTGTTTTCATATACAATCACCATGTATCCTTATTCAACTTCTCAAGTTGCTTTACCTTCTCAATTTGCTTTTCCTTCTCAAGCTGCTTTATCTTCTCCTTCTCGAACTGCTTTATCTTCTCAAACTCCAGCTATAACAGAAAAATCTATTCCAAAAATTGATGAATTTTTACAAAATTTGGATAATTAACATGGTGAGGGAAGATTCACATGTTTTTTAGATAGCTTTTTAAATGAATCTATTGATGTACTAGATATTTTGGATCTAAATGATAGTGATTTTATTAAATTAGGCATTAATAGTATTGGTATTAGAAAAAAATTAGGTAGATCAGCGAAAAACTATGCACAATTTTGATTTTTTTTTCAAAATTACACGTGATAAATATTTTCTACAAAATAATAATCACTTTATTCTATGTATTTTTCGCTTATTACAAATAAATTGAAGATTTTGTCTATATAAATTTTTTAAATTTTATTAAAAATAAATTGATTTTTCAAAAAAAGATTTTGCCCTGTCTCTTATACACATCTAGATGTGTATAAGAGACAGGATTAATTTTTTCCGTATACATTTCGTATACATTAGTTTTTTTAAAAAATGTTCAAAAATGAATTGCTTATTAAATATACGGAATTTGTATACGGAATCTATAGAAACGTACATAAAATGTATACAAAACGTTTCCTTTCCGTATACATATTTCTTATAGGGTAGGTACAAAAAAAAAAAATTATTACTGCGGAATTTAAATTTATGCTTTTCGAAAATTGAAGAAATAATTTATTTTTTTGTTTCAACTATTTATGTCTAGCTTATTTATAAATAATTTTTTTTTTGTTTAACTATTTATAAACATGGTATCACTGAACGCCGAAGGTACTGTAACTGTCGATCATTTTACATCTAATTTAAGTTAGGTCATCAAAACTTTGATGATCGGAGTATTTAACTTTCAATTTTTTGTCTTGCGTGAAATAACTAACAAATGAATTTTTAATAATTTTATTTTAACTCTTCAATTAAGTAATTTAAATTGTTTTATCAATAAATATTTTAAAAATTTATTTCTTACTCTGCAAAAATGTGCCCAATTATGGTAGAAACATTACTATATTTCAACAATAAAATTTTGTTTATTTATATTGTAGACTAAGGAATTATAATTATTGCCGTTTTCAAAATGGTTGAAATTGATGATCTGCAAGGTGAAACACACTAATTAAATCACATGCAAATGTAACACTAAAATTAATATTTTTTACCCCGCTATTAATCTATACGCGTTTTTAATGGTTTACAATGAGTTCAAAACGGTCTATACGTGAAAAAGTTCCATATGAAAGAATATATGTGATCAGTACTTGTTTCTTATGTCAAAAATGTTTGTTGTCAAAAACAACTGCTTAATAAAAAATGTAGTTGTGACTTAACTGAACGACCGCGTTTTAAGAGCAAAAATAATGCAAGAAATTATTATACTGGAGTTTATAATCCAAGTACAGCAAGTAGAGTTTATAGCCCTTCACAAATGAATAAAATAAATGATGCAAATAAAATTTTTTCATATAATTTGAACTTTTCGTCTAAATTTAATTTTTCTTTATGTGTCACATGCCATAATCTTATGGCAAGATTAAAAAAAAAATGAAAAGGAATTAAAAGAAGTACTGAAAGAAGTTGAATTAATAATAGAGGATAGTAATATAGATGAAGAAGAAGCAACAATGCAGACTGATTTTGAAGAAAAGAATACTAAACATAGTGAAAAAGAATTTAGTGAAGAAGCTTATGGAGCAGAATCTAGTGAAAAAGAAGGATAATGGAGTATCAGAAATTTCTTTTAAACTTAGTTGTAATTAATCAAAAAGGGAAGAATAGTCCTGCAAAATGGATAGTTATTCAAAAATCTATCCTTAGAAATTTTTTAAAAGATTTGAATTTACATATCCAGCAACAAGCAGATCAATGGATTGAACGATTACATTATTACATATAAACAGGTAAATGATAAAAGTTTGGGTACTCAACTTTCAGATGAAAAGGATTGGGAGAAATTTCTGTCAGTTAGAATATCAAAACACAATTTCACGAAAAAAGGAGATGATGGTGCTTGCTACAATCAAGTTTAACGAAAATGAAAGTGATAAAATTCAATCAAAAAGAAGGTATGCTATATAACAATAATATTATTTATTTATAGACATATAATATAATTTATACTTTAATTGTACTAAATAATTATTTATTTCAGAAAAGTAGGTGATATAACCGATACTACTGATACTACTGATACCGTGCAAACATAAGAAAAAAAAAAGAAAAATTAAATACTATTCCAAAAGAAGTAAATCTTTCTGATGAAAGGACTAAAATTGCAACAAACATAATGTTGTTAACTCAAAAAAATCATTGTGATGAACATGATAGAGCGTGTTACGTTACTGGATCGCATCATTTATTTTTAACGCCTCAACATTTAAGTACCTGGGCAGCTTCAATCGTAAGTTCAGTATTTTATTTATAGCATTTAAATTTAAATTTATTTTTTAAATTTTTTTTTCTTTTTTCATGATTTACAAATATAATTTAGGAACATAATTTAGCAACAATTGATACGCCACCAAGTTTTCCCATATTTGCTAATAAAACTGTAAGAAGTAATCAAAGTAATTCGCAACCTTTACCACCTCAAGCATCTATACTACAACATACATTGTTTTCATATACAATCACCATGTATCCTTATTCAACTTCTCAAGTTGCTTTACCTTCTCAATTTGCTTTTCCTTCTCAAGCTGCTTTATCTTCTCCTTCTCGAACTGCTTTATCTTCTCAAACTCCAGCTATAACAGAAAAATCTATTCCAAAAATTGATGAATTTTTACAAAATTTGGATAATTAACATGGTGAGGGAAGATTCACATGTTTTTTAGATAGCTTTTTAAATGAATCTATTGATGTACTAGATATTTTGGATCTAAATGATAGTGATTTTATTAAATTAGGCATTAATAGTATTGGTATTAGAAAAAAATTAGGTAGATCAGCGAAAAACTATGCACAATTTTGATTTTTTTTTCAAAATTACACGTGATAAATATTTTCTACAAAATAATAATCACTTTATTCTATGTATTTTTCGCTTATTACAAATAAATTGAAGATTTTGTCTATATAAATTTTTTAAATTTTATTAAAAATAAATTGATTTTTCAAAAAAAGATTTTGCCCTGTCTCTTATACACATCTAGATGTGTATAAGAGACAGGATTAATTTTTTCCGTATACATTTCGTATACATTAGTTTTTTTAAAAAATGTTCAAAAATGAATTGCTTATTAAATATACGGAATTTGTATACGGAATCTATAGAAACGTACATAAAATGTATACAAAACGTTTCCTTTCCGTATACATATTTCTTATAGGGTAGGTACAAAAAAAAAAAATTATTACTGCGGAATTTAAATTTATGCTTTTCGAAAATTGAAGAAATAATTTATTTTTTTGTTTCAACTATTTATGTCTAGCTTATTTATAAATAATTTTTTTTTTGTTTAACTATTTATAAACATGGTATCACTGAACGCCGAAGGTACTGTAACTGTCGATCATTTTACATCTAATTTAAGTTAGGTCATCAAAACTTTGATGATCGGAGTATTTAACTTTCAATTTTTTGTCTTGCGTGAAATAACTAACAAATGAATTTTTAATAATTTTATTTTAACTCTTCAATTAAGTAATTTAAATTGTTTTATCAATAAATATTTTAAAAATTTATTTCTTACTCTGCAAAAATGTGCCCAATTATGGTAGAAACATTACTATATTTCAACAATAAAATTTTGTTTATTTATATTGTAGACTAAGGAATTATAATTATTGCCGTTTTCAAAATGGTTGAAATTGATGATCTGCAAGGTGAAACACACTAATTAAATCACATGCAAATGTAACACTAAAATTAATATTTTTTACCCCGCTATTAATCTATACGCGTTTTTAATGGTTTACAATGAGTTCAAAACGGTCTATACGTGAAAAAGTTCCATATGAAAGAATATATGTGATCAGTACTTGTTTCTTATGTCAAAAATGTTTGTTGTCAAAAACAACTGCTTAATAAAAAATGTAGTTGTGACTTAACTGAACGACCGCGTTTTAAGAGCAAAAATAATGCAAGAAATTATTATACTGGAGTTTATAATCCAAGTACAGCAAGTAGAGTTTATAGCCCTTCACAAATGAATAAAATAAATGATGCAAATAAAATTTTTTCATATAATTTGAACTTTTCGTCTAAATTTAATTTTTCTTTATGTGTCACATGCCATAATCTTATGGCAAGATTAAAAAAAAAATGAAAAGGAATTAAAAGAAGTACTGAAAGAAGTTGAATTAATAATAGAGGATAGTAATATAGATGAAGAAGAAGCAACAATGCAGACTGATTTTGAAGAAAAGAATACTAAACATAGTGAAAAAGAATTTAGTGAAGAAGCTTATGGAGCAGAATCTAGTGAAAAAGAAGGATAATGGAGTATCAGAAATTTCTTTTAAACTTAGTTGTAATTAATCAAAAAGGGAAGAATAGTCCTGCAAAATGGATAGTTATTCAAAAATCTATCCTTAGAAATTTTTTAAAAGATTTGAATTTACATATCCAGCAACAAGCAGATCAATGGATTGAACGATTACATTATTACATATAAACAGGTAAATGATAAAAGTTTGGGTACTCAACTTTCAGATGAAAAGGATTGGGAGAAATTTCTGTCAGTTAGAATATCAAAACACAATTTCACGAAAAAAGGAGATGATGGTGCTTGCTACAATCAAGTTTAACGAAAATGAAAGTGATAAAATTCAATCAAAAAGAAGGTATGCTATATAACAATAATATTATTTATTTATAGACATATAATATAATTTATACTTTAATTGTACTAAATAATTATTTATTTCAGAAAAGTAGGTGATATAACCGATACTACTGATACTACTGATACCGTGCAAACATAAGAAAAAAAAAAGAAAAATTAAATACTATTCCAAAAGAAGTAAATCTTTCTGATGAAAGGACTAAAATTGCAACAAACATAATGTTGTTAACTCAAAAAAATCATTGTGATGAACATGATAGAGCGTGTTACGTTACTGGATCGCATCATTTATTTTTAACGCCTCAACATTTAAGTACCTGGGCAGCTTCAATCGTAAGTTCAGTATTTTATTTATAGCATTTAAATTTAAATTTATTTTTTAAATTTTTTTTTCTTTTTTCATGATTTACAAATATAATTTAGGAACATAATTTAGCAACAATTGATACGCCACCAAGTTTTCCCATATTTGCTAATAAAACTGTAAGAAGTAATCAAAGTAATTCGCAACCTTTACCACCTCAAGCATCTATACTACAACATACATTGTTTTCATATACAATCACCATGTATCCTTATTCAACTTCTCAAGTTGCTTTACCTTCTCAATTTGCTTTTCCTTCTCAAGCTGCTTTATCTTCTCCTTCTCGAACTGCTTTATCTTCTCAAACTCCAGCTATAACAGAAAAATCTATTCCAAAAATTGATGAATTTTTACAAAATTTGGATAATTAACATGGTGAGGGAAGATTCACATGTTTTTTAGATAGCTTTTTAAATGAATCTATTGATGTACTAGATATTTTGGATCTAAATGATAGTGATTTTATTAAATTAGGCATTAATAGTATTGGTATTAGAAAAAAATTAGGTAGATCAGCGAAAAACTATGCACAATTTTGATTTTTTTTTCAAAATTACACGTGATAAATATTTTCTACAAAATAATAATCACTTTATTCTATGTATTTTTCGCTTATTACAAATAAATTGAAGATTTTGTCTATATAAATTTTTTAAATTTTATTAAAAATAAATTGATTTTTCAAAAAAAGATTTTGCCATTATAGGCGTTATTTGTGAGCATGCTGCTATAATAGCAAATTCAGGATCAGGACAAGTTTCCATAAAATCCTTATTTCTTTTAATCCAACTTTTTACTGTAGAAAATGCTAGTTCTATCGGATTAAAATCTGGTGAATATGGGGAAGAAATAATACTTTACAACTAACACTTTTTATTACATTGATCATTTCTTCATTATGATGAATTTTGGCGTTATCCATCACCAGTACACTGTTTTTTCCAGGAATAGGATTCATAAAAGGTAACTATAAATTGAAAACAATTAGAAATTGCAATTATAAACATAAACACATAAACACGAGTTACATAAACACGAACATAAATTATTATACTTACAATATGAGATAAAATAAAAGAACAAAATCTTTCTTGAGAACAACTACCTTTCATAATATCACATGCAATGAATCCATCTAACGTAAGTGCAGGTAAAATAGTATACCTAACACCTCTCAAAAAAACCACTTTTTGAGATACTCTTTGATTTTTAAACGAATACCCATAAGTACGTGACAAAGATCTTTCGTCTTTAGCAGTCTCATCTAAAAAGATTAATTGTTCTTGCTGATACTCCATTCCAATAGTAAAAATATAATCAGCTCTTAACAATTCACTCCTTTCTTTTGCAGCTTTTTCCAACTTGATTTTAATGTATAAATAATGAATAGATTAATTAATAGTCTAAATATTTTTAACAAATGAAATATACTATAAATTGCAATATGTATCTAACCTTTTCAACAATTTCATCCAAATAATAATTAGGATGTTCTTTAATAATTTCTTGTAAAGTCTAAAAATTAATATATTCACATTAATAATCATAATAAAATCATGATAGTAGAGATAATAAAATAAACTAACCTTCATATCAGATCCACTAAACATTTTTTTCCTTCCTGCTTGTTGCAAAAATGGGTTTATTACGTATCTCCATTTTCGATAACATTTAAGGATTCTGTGTACTGTTGGCCTACTAATTCTTAGCAGCTGTGAAATTTCTTGTAAATTATAGTCATCACAAAATAAATACACCACCCTCTACCTAAAATCCTCGCTTATTACACGTCCCATTACTTGAACAACAACTTTGATTAAGGTACTTAGAGTGTGATTCTTGTGTGATTCGCGAGTTTATATTGTAGCGTCTACAAAAGAAAGTGTGATTTAAAGTGTGATTTTAAAGGTAAAACTGTAAATATATAGTTTATTTTATAATAAGAAACCACTGAAACTTGACTATATTGTTTCAAACTAGTGTACTTTAGGTACAATGAGTTTTTAATATATAAATAAATATACATATATGTATGGTTATGATTAGAATATTAAAAGGATTATTACAAATATTATTGTATTGTCATAAAATTTGAAGTTAATTGGCTGAGTTTTATAAAAAATATAAGAATTAATGGAATTATTATTATTTTTTGTAAAATATCAATTTATAAATAAAATTAACAATACCATGATTTAAATTGTTAAAAGTCTCATGCATATGGTTTAATTGTTTTAAATATAAAAAATCTAAATTATTTATAAAAAATTGTATATTAAATTAAAAGTAAATTTTAAGAATCATACATACACGTACATCATAAATTTAATTATATTCATATGTAATGAAATTTAATACAAATCTAACACAAATTTATTTATGTCATGTCTATGTTGTTTAACATAATGAAATTAATTATTAATTGGGTAATATTTATAATTTCCATTTATTCATTTATTATAATATAAAAAAAATGTTAAAAATGATATATGGGGATAAGCACAGCAAAACAAGGGGATAGCCTCAAAAAAAAATTTTTTAAGTTTATATGATAATTATGCTCCAATTTATCCAAAAATTACAGTTGTAATGAAATCTCAAAAAAAAATTTTTAGATCCTATCCCCTTGTTTTGCTGTGCGTGTCCCCATATGTAAAATAAGCTTTAATGTTTATCAAATAAAAATAAAAAAATTTTGTTTTCAATGGTTATACTTTACAAATGGAGTCCAATAGACCACTGGACTTACAAAAAAAGAGGACAAAATATTAGTAAACACTTTACTTAAGTAAAAATAAAAAGAAAATTCAAGAAAAATGCAATTTTTTTTGAGTACTCACCTACATTCATGAAAATTAATATTCAAGTGGTTTCAACCTGCCTGAACAACTTTCAATTAACAAAAAGAAGGATTTCATTTGGTCAAAATGGAGATATTATGTTCTAAATTAGAAATCAGAAAAGAGAGTTTGTATAAGAGACAGTTTGTGTACTTG